AAAACGGCCAACCCGAGGAGAATTGCCGCCGTGTCGCCGGAGTACGGCGGAGCCGCCGTGCCAGAATTGCGATATTGGCCGAAAGGGGCCCTGGGTCTAATTTGGGATTTTTTGGGACACATGCATGTACCAATATTGCGTTTCAGTTCCCTGAAAAAAATTCATGGAAAATTAGGGACAACCTGTAGGCGCACTGTATAGCCGTATTCATACCCCGAACCAAGTAAGGACCCCTCACCCTATTTCCTATCACGGTATTAAAGTTCAATACATGATAAAATGGTATTTCATGAATCAATAGTTGTGTGAAATTGTTTAAGGTCGCTAATGGAGCCCGAATCTGGTGTGCTTGTCGGTCAGCTGTTGTTTGGCCTATTTTACAGTTTTAAATGCAGTATGAGGTCTGATGTTTTCATTTCATAGTTTGTGTGCATATATCACTGTTTTATTGATTATGGGTTGAATGACTGAGAACCCGATGTTGTGTGTTGTCTTGTTTGGCATAAATTACTGGTTGCTAGTTTGTGTGTGATTTGATGATGCTGACTGAGGAAAAAGGGAATAAAAGGTTATGTAAATTGATAATTGTATAATGTGGTTAGCCTGACTATATATCCTGGGAGATGGTGGACGGACCGGGTCCGTAGGGAACCCTACCGGGATTGTGGTCTCTCATACCGGACGAGGTATAGAGACCTTATGTGTTTTGGTGCCCATACCGGACGGGGTATGGGGACAGCCCGTTTCACCCTCATACCGGACGGGGTATTGAGGTTTATTGTTTTGGTGCCCATACCGGACGGGGTATGGGGACGACCCTGGAATCTGATTACAAATGTTAAGGGTTCACGGGTAGCGGGACCCCTATGAATCCCCATGGATACTAGTAGGCTGGTAAATGAGGAAAATATGTTGTGTAATGATTGAAATGCAAAGGCGTGGTAAGTATTATGTTATACAGTTCATATGATATCATGATGATGATAATGTTATTGTTTTTGTATGTTGTTTTATGAACTTCACCGAGGTAAGTGGACAGTAAATGATTTTATTATTGATAAAAGAATTTGTTATAAATTATGCTCCATTGGTCTTTTTGTGTTTTCTACCCACCTTTACCTCCGTGGCGGTGAGATAGTGTGATGTCTTTACTGGGCTGGTGTAGCTCATTCCTTATTTAACCATTTCAGATCAGGAAGACATTGTTCCCGAGCCCGTTCCGCAAGAAGACGGCGAAAGGGACGCCTAAAGACTTCGTAGTTACATTTATAGTTTTTATTTTTGAGTTTCTCTCTTAGTTAGTTTGAAATTTTATATTTTGAGTACGTTTTGGTTATTGTTTAAGGGATGTTAGTCAAAATTTTTATCACGCTTCCACATTTGACATTTTTAATATATATATTTCATTTAAATTTCCGGGGCCATTACATAAATAAATATATCCCATTAAATATCTGATACTAACCTTCATGTGAACACAGGTTCAAAAGGCATTAAAGAGAAGTATGAAGAAGATATTACAATATCAGCTGGAATCACAAAATTTCAAACTAAGAAACTAAAACATACATTTCAAGACTTTATATAAAGATAGATACAAAAAGAACTTAGCACATATGAACTATTTGAAGAATCAAAGAAGTCAAAGAAGATCATTAATTTCGTTCAAGTATGTGGGCATAATTTATATGAATGTTTAGGATCATTTTGGTCGTTTTCTAGATAATTAAATTATGTTCATATTTTTCTAGGTCATTTAATATTATGTTTTCCTAGGTCATTTAATACTATGTTCTACTAGGTTATTTAATACTATATTTCTATAGGTCATGTAATATTATATTCTTCTAGGTCATTTAATATCATGTTTTTCTAAATTATTTAATATCATGTTTTACTAGATCATTTAATCTCATGTTTCTTTAAGTAATTTAAATTATATCCATCTTTTCGTAGGTCATCTAATTATGATCTTTTGGCAGAATTTATATATTTTAGCCTATAAATATCTCATTTTCAATGTAATATAACATACTTCAGTTATTGAATGAATGTCATTGCCTTTAGTAGAACTTTGATAAGTGAGAATTCTTATTCTTCTTGTTATATCAAGAATTGCATTAACTTATTAAATTATCTTGTGGTATTTATTCATTCTTGTTTCTTTCATCACAATCACCTAAGTTCTCAATTACAGGTTAGTTGTGGCTTTGATAGGAAGGATTTGTTTAAGGTTCTAAGTTATCCATGCTAAATATATATGTGAGATTCTTGATGTAATATTTGATTATGGGGTTTGGTATCAAGAGCTCTGGTCTTGCATAAATTCTTAGGTACTATTTGTGTTTGATTTATTTAAGTTTATTTTCTTGTTCTTATTTGTTTATACTATTCAACTTTTATCTTTATTATTCTTAATTTTGGTTGCACCTTATTCTTATTCTTTAATTCTCTGTTCTTTATCTTTTCATATTTTATTCTTGTTAGCCAAATTAAAAAAAAAAACAAAAGAAAAGTAAAAAAAAAAAGGAGAAAATGAAGAAAAGAAATATCATAATCGACTTCTATTGCAAAAGAAAAAATATGTGTTAATTGAACTATCAATTCTGTCCATCTTAGTCAAAGTGCATCCACTTCACATATATTGTCTCGCAATAGCATAGTTTTTATTATCTAGAACGTAGCTTACATTCGGAATAGATTATAGGTTTATATATTCAGATTTCTCATTAGGAGCGATACAAATTCTATTATCATTAGTGAAAAATTATTTTTTTGCATTCTTAATTTCGTTTCTTCATATACCTTTTGCAATACCCGAGTTCAGAATTTGGCTAAGGATTAATTTTAACATTTTAAATATATAAAAAATTTATTTTTAATTTAACTTATTTTAATTTTTATTGAATTTATGCAAAAAAATAGGTTATGGATTAAATTGAAAATAATTCTGGGAAAAATAGGTGAAATTTTGGGTTCGGGGAGTGTTTTTAAAAGAAAAATCAGAAACCGAGGGTCAGAATGTAAATAAAAAAAATTTTGTCACGTAGGACCGCGTAGTCAGCAACCTCGACAACCCGGAGTACGTTGTGTAACAAGGCACGCTGACATCGGTGCCACGCGAGATGCCACATGGGCAATCCGCGCGCCACACGATCGAACGGCCAAGGATTGATCCTGCGCGCATGGACGGCCCGACATTGTTTCTCCTTTAAACGCGATCAGACGATCGAGATCAAATCACGATGAA